AGAAAAAGAAAGAAAAGGAAAGGAAAGGATTTTATAAGGCTTATAAAGCAGCTACAGTTGGAACTATAACTTTGCAAAATTTAAATTCTTCTACTTACCCACTTAACCTAAGGATTAACAATTTTATTTTTAAAGGCAATAAATCTTTATTCTAAAAAGTGAAGAAAGAAAAAAAAGGAAAGAAAAGAGGAAGAAGAGAAACCTTCATGTGTGTTATTACATTTCTTAAGGATTAACAGTTTAAATTGTGCTATATGAAGCACTGTGCCATAGCTATGAAAGGTACAAAGACAAGTATTCCCAGTACTCAAAAGAACAAATCTAGAGAGAACAATACATAGAACCCCTAACCATAATTCTCAGCAGAATGTAAATACTATAATAAAGGCAAAAGTAAAGTGTAATGGAAACCCAGAAAAAAAACAATGGATCTTTATGGGAAACTTTAAGTTCAAACATTAAGTTTCTCTAATCTAGTTCTTAGTGACTGCCAAGACTAGCACAGTCCAAAGAACCAATCTGCTTCCTTGCATCAGCAGGTGGGTTACACCTTAATCGCCAAAAAGAATCACTAGATTTCTTGTTGTCTATATCCCTTTACTAAAGGAACTCTATATTGAGTTGAGTTGACCAGGTTGCATGTGAAACTACTATTTATAGATAATGATAGTGCTCTGATAGCTCTACCACCAACAATGTATAATGACCACGTCATATCTATTATAAAGCAATGCCCACAGCTTCCGTGTATCTTGCTTTTCTCATCTCCAGAAATAAAAGAAAATGAAATTATTACAAGCAGTCCCTACATGAATTTGCTAAAAGAACACAATCATAAATGAGCTATAAGATCTGACCTGAATGCAATACTGGCCTATTTCTACATTCTTCTCTATCATTACTCCATTATACATCAAATAAATATTTATTGAGTACCTACTATGTTCTAGAAGCTGTCAATATAGCAGTGAAATAGACAGGCTTTTAGGTTCTAATCTCCCCATGGGCTCAAGCGATCCTGCTGCCTCAGCCTCCCGAGTAGCTGGGACTACAGGCATGTGCCACCATGCCCGGCTAATTTTTTCTATATTTTTCTATTTAATATTTTCTATATTTTTTGTTAGCCAATTAATTTGTTTCTATTTTTAGTAGAGACGGGGTCTTGCTCTTGCTCAGGCTGGTTTCAAACTCCTGATCTTGAGCGATATGCCCGCCTCAGCCTCCCAGATTGCTAGGATTACAGGCATGAGCCACTGCGCCTGGCCTATAACCTTGAATTCCTGGGCTCAAGGGATCCTCTCACCTCAGCCTGTTGAGTAGGTAGGACTAACAGGCATGTGCTACCATGCCCAGCTCATTTTTTTTTTAATTCTTTTTTAGAGACAGGCTCTTGCTATGTTTCCCAGGCTGGTCTCAAACTCCTGGCGTCAAGTGATCCTCCCTCCTCAGCCTCCCAAAGTGCGGGGATTGTAGGTGTGAACCACTCTGCCTGGTCTCCCTATTCCTACTTCCCCTTAACCCCCCAGTCCTAGGCAACCCTTGATCTACTTTTTATCTATATAGATTTGTCTATTCTGGATGATAGAATCATAGAATATGTAATAATGACTGACTTTTTCCACTTAGCATAATGTTTTGAGATTCATCTACCTTGTATCATATATTAGTACTTCAGTGCCAGATAATATCCTGTTGCATGGATATATACCACATTTCATTTATCTATATGTCTGTTGTTAGATATTTGGGTTGTTTTTCTATTTGGGGCTATTATAAATAATGCTACTGTGAACATCATGTACAAGTTTTTGTGCAGACATATGTTTCCTTTCTCTTGCATATATATATATGTAAAATTGCTGGGTGACCATTTAACCTTTTGGGGAATTGCCAGACATTTTCTAAGCAGCTGCATCATTTTTACATTCCCACCAGCAGTGTACGAGAGTTGCAGTTTCTCTATATCCTAATACTTGTTGTTATCTGTCTTTTTGATTATAGTCATCCTAGTGAGTGTAAAGTGGTAATTCACTGTGGGTTTGATTTGCATTTCTCTGATGGCTGGTGATATTCAACATCTTTTTGTGTGCTTATCAGCCATTTGTTTATCTTCTTTTGGAGAAATATCTATTGAGAGCCTTTGCCCATTTTTAATTGGTTCATTTGTCTTTTATTATAGAATTATAAGAGTTCTTTAGGTATTCTAGATATAAGTTTCTTAGGATATATACAAAAAATATATTTATAGATATATTGACAAAAGTTTGCAAAAATATATTTTATCAGATCTATTTATAAAAATCTTCTCCCATTTTGTGGGTTAACTTTTTACTTTTTTGACAGTGTCCTTTGAAGCACAAAAAAGTTTAATATTGATGTAGTTTGATTTATGTTTTTTTCTTGTTTGTTGCTTTCAGTGTCATGTTTAAGAAACCATTAGGTTACAAAGATTACAAAGGTTACAAAGATTTAAGCCTATCTTTTATTCTAAGAGTTTTGTAGTTTTAACTCTTATATTTAGGTCTTTGATCCATTTTTAGCTAACTTTGATGTGAGGTAGGGATCCACCTTCATTCTTTTTGCATGTGGATATCCATTTGTTCTAGCACCATTCATTAAAAAGACTTTCTTTGCCCCATTGAATTATTTTGACACCCTTGTTGAAAATCAGTTGACTGTAAGGGACTGTCTGTTTTGAGGAACATATTCACATTGTTCCTCTTTTGCCCCAAGATAGTTAAATAAAAAAAAAAAATTTAAAATAATCTAAAAAGGTTGCAAGTACATTTTGAAAAACTTGATTTTTTTGAACCATTTGAGAGTAAGTTGTCAACATGATGCTGCATGATGACCATGTTTATGTGTATTTATCAAAAACAGGCACATTTTCCTACACAACTACACTACAACCATCAAAATCAGAAAATTAACATTCCTGTATTACTACCATATCATCCTCAGATCACATTCAAGTTTTGCTCTTTGTCCCAATAATGTCCTTTATAGCAAAAGGATCCAGTCCCGAATCATACATTGCATTTATCTGTCATGATTTTTTAGTCTTCAGTCTGAAATGTTTCCTCAGTCTTCTTTCTTTAACTTTCATAACCTGCACATTTTTGAAGATTGTCCCATGTAGAATGTCCCATGATTGTGGTTTTCTGATGTTTTCTCATGGTTAAATTCAATTTATGTATATTTGTCAGAAATATCATAGAAGTGATGCTGTATCCTTCTTAGTGCATTATTTTGGGGCCCATGATTTCACCATTACTTGTTTTTTTGTTTGTTTGTTTGTTTTTTGAGACAGAGTCTCACTCCGTTGCCTGGGCTAGAGTGCTGGGGTATCAGCCTAGCTCACCGCAACCTCAAACTCCTGAGCTCAAGCAATGCTCCTGCCTCAGCCTCCCCAGTAGCTGGAACTACAGGCGTACATCACCACACCCGCTAATTTTTTCTATTTTTAGTAGGGACAGGGTCTCAGTCTTGCTAAGGCTGGTCTCCAACTCCTGAGCTCAAGTGATCTTCCCTCCTCGGCCTCTCAGAGTGCTAGGATTATAGGCATGAGCCATTATTTTCGATATTAACCTTTATTACTTGGTTAAAGTGGTGTTTGCTAGGCTTTTCACTATTAAAATTTTTTTTTCCTTTTATGGTTAGCATTTTTTGGGAAGGAACTTTGAGATTATGTAAATCTTGCTCATTAATCTTTCATTTTTTTCATTTATTTATTTATACCTACATAGACACATCCATTCCTATTTTGATTAAAAAGTTATTATCATTATTTGTATCAATATTCCATTTGTTCCAGGATGGTCCGTGGGAGCTCTTTCAAACTCATTTCTTTGTTCTTTTGACATGGCCTCTCATTCTTTGAGCACTTCCTTCCTTTTCTGGCACAACATGATGTTCCAGGCTCATTTGGTACTTGCTCTACTCTGTCCCTGGAATCAGATGTTTCTCCTAAGAGCTCTGGCTCCTTTTAGTGGAGAATGGTATTAGAAACCAAGATATGGCTGGATGTGGTGGCTCACCCCTGTAATCATAGCACTCTGGGGAGGCCGAGGCGGGAGGATTGCTCGAGCTCAGGAGTTCAAAACCAGCCTGAAGCGAGATCCCATCTCTACTATAAATAGAAAGAAATTAATTGGCTAACTAATATGTATAGAAAAAATTAGCCAGGCATGGTGGCGCATGCCTGACTACAGCTACTCGGGAGGCTGAGGCAGTAGGATTGCTTGAGCCCAGGTGTTTGAGGTTGCTGTGAGCTAGGCTGATGCCACGGCACTCACTCTAGCCTGGGCAACAAAGTGAGACTCTGTCTCAAAAAAAAAATGAAAAAATAAAAAAAAAAGAAACCAAGATATAAGTGTTAGGTGTACATATTGGTTGGGGTATTGCTGGTCTCAGGATCTCTTAGGGGACAGAGTTAGGGAATATATGTTTTCCTACATTTATATCCATATTTATTTTTATAGTTATATATTAAATTTCATATCAATAGCTATAATTTCAGTCTAATACCAGAAAGTTCATTCTACTACAGTTAAGCAGTTAATATACCCATCATCCCATATATGTTACCTTTCTTTTTTGTGTGTGTATGGTAAGAATACCTAAATCTACTCTCTTGGCAAATTACCAATATAATATTATTAACTGTAGTCCTCATGTTGTACATTGGTCACTTAGTCGCTTTTGGACTGAGTTGTTTGGAAAGAGGCTTCACATTGTCTTTTGAGAGACAATGAAGTTTTTACTCAATTAAAAATCAGTATTTTATAGGAAGGAACAAAACCCAAACAGCTTGATATTTTCACTTTTCAGGCAGTCCAAAAGGATTTTTTTCTTTGGCTAACATTTAACATAAAATAACACTTAATTTGATTGATAATTATTAGCATCTTATACATTGGTTAATGAGCTGCTCCTGACTGAGGAAATTAGAAAACAAATAATAATTTACATCTATAGAATAACATTCATTTCTCTTCTAGCTCTTCCACCAAAGCCACCTAAGCCAATGACGTCAGCAGTTACAAATGGAATGAAGGACAGTTCTGTTTCTCTTCAGGATGCAGAATGGTACTGGGGGGATATTTCAAGGTAACTAAAATGCTGCTATAATTGAATATAGTTTTTAAAAAAATCATTTTTGAGAATTAGTAAACTAAAACATTTTAACACCCCCCTAGTTGTCATTTTGAAGATTATGATTTTAAAAATTGTGTGTTTGAACATTTCAAAAGTCTTTAATGCTTTTCTTCCCATGAAAAAGTGACAAGAAAATCTTTAAATTATGGGCATGATTATTACTTTTAATATTATAATGAATATGGATTTCTGAATAAGTGAAACTTACACATTTAGGATAGTTACATGTGTTTTAATAAAAATACTTTCAGATGCTTAAATTTTTGTACCTTTCTTTCTCTTAAGGCAATGGTTCTAAAATCTTTGCATGCACAAAAATTAATTAAGATGGAGCCCAGGAGTCTGCATTTAACCACCTCCGCAGATGATTTTGATGCAGACGCTACAGACCTCACTTTGGGAAATGGAATTCTAGGACAGATGCATTTTTTGAGCAAAATGTAGTTTTGGATAATTTTGAAGCTAGAGAGGGAAAAATATATATGTATTTTTAAAATTTGAATATTATATTTTCTTGTTTTTATTTATCTATTCTTCTCATTAAACTTTGTTTTGGGCTGGGTGCGGTGGCTCACGCCTGTAATCCTAGCACTCTGGGAGGCTGAGGCAGGCGGATTGCTCCAGGTCAGGAGTTCAAAACCAGCCTGAGCAAGAGCAAGACCCCGTCTCTACTATAAATAGAAAGAAATTCATTGGCCAACTAATATATATAGAAAAAGTTAGCCGGGCATGGTGGCGCATGCCTGTAGTCCCAGCTACTCAGGAGGCTGAGGCAGTAGGATTGCTTGAGCCCAGGAGTTTAAGGTTGCCGTGAGCTAGGCTGATGCCACGGCACTCACTCTAGCCTGGGCAACAAAGCAAGACTCTGTCTCAAAAAAAAATAAATAAAATAAACTTTGTTTTGATGGATCTCAAATGTATTTTCTTTTTTCTTTTTTAGAGATAGGATCTCACTCTGTCACCCAGCTGGAATGCAGTAGCACAATCAGAGTTCACTGTAACCTCGAACTCCTGGACTTAAGGGATCCTTCCACCTCAGCCTCCTGAGTAGTTGGGACTATGGGCACATGGCTGATTTTTAAAATTTTTGTAGAGACAGGATCTTGCTATGTTGCTCAGGCTGGTCCTGAACTCCTGGCCTCAAGCAATTTTCCCACCTTGGCCTCCCAAAGTGCTGGGATTACAGATGACAGATGTGAGCCACTGTGTCTGGCCTTTTTTTTTTTTTTTTTTTTAGCTTGAAAAGTACATTTTTTTTTTTTGGTTTTTTTTTTAATTTTTTTTTTAATTTTGGCATATTATGGGGGTACAGATTTTAAGGTTTCAATAAATGCCCATTTCTCCCTCCCCCCAAAAGTCTGAGTCTCCATCATGACCATCCCAGATGGGCACATCTCACTCATTAGTATGTATATACCTGCCCCCCTCTCCCACCTGCCCAATACCCTATTACTGTAGTACCTATGTGTCCACTTAGGTGCTACTCAGTTAATACCAGTTTGCTGGAGAATATATCTGGTGCTTGTTTTTCCATTCTTGGGATACTTCACTTAGTAGTATGGGTTCCAGCTCTAACCAGGAATATATAAGATGTGCTATGTCACCATTGTTTCTTAGAGCTGAATAGTACTCCATGGTATACATATACCACATTTTATTAATCCATTCTTGGATTGATGGGCACTTGGGCTGTTTCCACAGCCTTGCAATTATGAATTGTGCTGCTATAAACATTCGAGTGCAGGTGTCTTTTTTGTAGAGTGTCACTGGATCATTTGGGTAGATGCCCAGCAATGGGATTGCTGGATCAAATGGTAGATTCACTTGTATCGCTTTAAGGTATCTCCTTTTTTTTTCAAAAGCCCTTTCCAGTTCTGTGAAATCAGGTTCCAGATTGATGTATTCCTCACTTCACTTGTCCTTCCTTTTCTTTTCTCTCTTTTCTCTCTTTACCAAAGTTGTACTTATTTCATATTTTTTTACCCTTACCATTTTAGCTATTTTTAAGTGTTCAGTCCAGTGGTATTAAACGTATTCACATTGTTGTGTAACCATCACCAACATCTATCTCTAGAACTTTTTCATCTTCCCCAACTGAAACTCTATACCCATTAAATAACAACTTCCTATTCTCCCCTCCTTTAGCCACTGGCAACCACGATTCTATTTCCTGTCTTTATGAATTCAGCTACTATGGAGTTGTACATAAGGTGGGTAGGCGAGCGATACGATAGGTGTTTTCCATTTCACTGTATTTCACAGTTCAAGGTCATTAGTGTAGCATGTGTCAGGAACATTGGAGTTTAATATTTTTTTATATGTTATTTTTTGAGGACAGAGTCGTCCTTTTTGTTTCGCCAGGTAAGAGGAGGCCGCACGAGCTAGCTCACAGCGAACCGTCAACTATCCTTGGATCAAGCGAATGAACTCCTGCCTCAGCCTCCAGTAAGCTGGGACGACAGCAGCGCCACATCCCGGCTAAGTTTGCTGCTATAGATTATTAGGTAGGCCAATAATTCTTTTGTTTAGTAGTAGAGACGGGATCACTCTGCTCAAGGCTGGTTTCGAACTCCGTGACTCGAAGCAATGCCACCGTCTCAGCTGCCCAGAGTGCTAGATTATAGGCGAGAGCACTGCGCCGGCTCCAGTTGTGGTATTTTTTGGAGACAGAGCTCACTCAGGTGCCGGGCTAGGAGTGAAGGCATGCCTTGGCGTGCAGCTAGCTCACAGCAAACTCAAGCCCTGGCTTAAGCAATCCTCGTGCCTCAGCGCCTCCTGAGAGAGCTGGTGATTCTCAAGGCAAGGCGCAACCAAGCTGGCTATTTGTTTCTAATAGTAATTTTTTAGTTGGAAATGGATGCGTTTCGTAGTTTTAGTAGAGGTGGGTCATCGCCTGCTTGCTCAGCTGGTTTCAAACCCGACCGTAGAGTATTGCCCGCATCGGCCTCTCAGAGTGCTAGGTTTACAGGTGTGAGCCACTGCGCCCAGCCATAATTTCATTCTTTTTAAGGCTGAATAATATCCCATTATACGTATATACTATATTTTTATTTGTCCATTCATCTGGACATTTGGATTTCATGGCCATTTTAATTGTTTCTGGCTTTTGGCTATTGTGGATAATGCTGCTTTGAACACTGGTGTACAAATATCTGTTTGAGTTCCTGCTTTCAGTTCTTTTGCGTATATGCCCAGAAGTGGAATTGTTGGGTCATATGGTGATTCTGTGCTTAATTTTTTGAACAAGACTTAATATATTTTATATTAAAATTGATCAGGACATTTTTATTTTAATATTGTACAATAAAAGAGTCTATTATATTTAAATGCTACTTAAATTTATATTTTAAGATCATATGACTCTAATGTAATTCAAGGGTCTTTTATGCCCTGCCACTTTCTTTGAGTGTTATAGTGTTCCTTAAAGTCATAAAACAACTCTGTAGAAGGAATTCATCATCAAAACATATCGACTGGTTAAAAAACGAAGAAATTTATCAGTATAAATTCAAATTAGAGAATATCATATTGAAAGTTATAAACTTAGTAAATTCTTCTCTTCCTCTACCCCCACCCGCACCCCCATTCAGCTGCCACTGTTGCTTAGGTATAACTTTTCTAAAGAGCTGCTGTGTTTTCCTGAAACTCTACAAGTTCAGACCTGCCTAAGAAAGCCCTAAAGACTTAATGGAAACACTATCCCCTATACACAACTGCAACCTGGAAGAGTTTAAAAATCAAATAGCCCTTCCTTAGATTGCATAACAACAAAAATCAAAACAGAGCTTATCTAGGGAGAACTAAATGACCTCTGAAGGCCTTCATGATTCTATAACCAGACATACCCACCTCCCAAGTAGCGTTAATAATAATATGCAGAGACAACCAGTACTTACATTTTTTCATTTTTCCTATAATTCTGTTCTTCAGGGAGGAAGTGAATGACAAGTTACGGGACATGCCAGATGGGACCTTCTTGGTTCGAGATGCATCAACAAAAATGCAGGGAGATTATACTTTGACTTTGCGGTAAGTACTTTTCAGCCTTTTGGCTAGTGCTCTTCCAGCATTATTTTGGTTCTGAATATACAGATATTTCTGTATTTTATATAAATCTTTATATACACAAATTTTCATATTTTTATTTAATTTATATACATAATTTTATTTCAGGTAATTATTTTTTCAATGCATTAAATATTTAAACATCTTATATAAGAATGGCAACTTTTTTTAATGTAGCAATAAAATAAAAAGTCTAAAATCCCAAAATCTAAGGGAGTAAGAAGTACATAGCTGACATTATGAATGAAATAGAAGTTATGGTCATCGCCTAAAGTTATTAATGAATCTGTCCTTCCAATAACCCTATTTTTTCCTTAATGCAGAAAGTAGAACTCAATGTAATTTTGGCTAATAAGGATACTCGAAGATGAAGCCTGTATCACGCCTTTCATGTGGGCATATTAGAATCTCTTAAGTGGTGGTTGGATGACTTTTCATATTTACAAAAATGGGACACATTTTTAAAAGGTTAAAAAAACTACATTAGATATTTCCACATTTGATTTTAATGATTAAAAGAGCCCAATTACAATAAAGTCTTATGATTTTTTTAAAGTGATTAAAGAAAAGAAAATGATAACAGCAACAATAACTGCTAACTTTTCTTATACTAAGCACTTTATATGCAATACATCATTTATTCCTCACGACTTTATTGCTATTCTTACTTTATAGATGAGGCAACTGAGGCTTAACTTGAAGGTCACATAGCTGCACAGTGGCAAAGGAAGGGTTAAAGTACAGATTTATCTAGCTCTTTGCTGCCTTTCCAGCCTAGTGTGTTTAGGAAAAATAATGCCATATTTTATGCTAGAAATTTGAGGCACTATATTAGTTTCTGGTAAAGACATTAAGAAACTGGCCCAGTGCAGTGGCTCATGCCTATAATCCTAGCACTGTGGGAGGCCGAGGTGGGTGGATTGCTTGAGGTCAGGAGTTCAAAACCAGCCTGAGCAAGAGTGAGACCCCGTCTCTACTATAAATAGAAAGAAATTAATTGGCCAACTAAAATATATAGAAAAAATTAGCTGGGCATGGTGGCACATGCCTGGAGTCCCAGCTACTCGAGAGACTGAGGCAGGAGTATTGCATGAGCCCAGGAGTTTGAGGTTGTTGTGAGCTAGGCTGATGCCACGGCACTCTAGCCTGGGCAACAGACTGAGACTCTTGTCTCAAAAAAAAAAAAAGAAAAAAGAAAAGAAAAGAATGCCTTAGCACTTGAATTGTGCTAAGGAATAATCAGTGTTCTACAGTGGTTCATTGAACACATTTTTCCCCCACTCCACTCAGGTTTCTGTCTCTATCACTCTACAGGAACTACTAAACCAATGACCACTTCTCTGCTCTTACTTTACCTGACCTCTTATCAGCATCAGTCATTAGACACTTCTTCCTAGAAACAGTTTATTATCTTGGCTGTTATGATATCATACTCTCCTGATTTTCTTCCTAACTCTAGGCTGCTCCTTTGCTTGATATCTAAATGTTAAGTGTTCCAGGACTCAGAGTGAGACCTCCTTTTCTATTCTATATTTGTTCTCCTAAGGTGAGCTTGTCCTGTCCTATGGCATTAATACATGTGATGGTTGAACCAGGTGCAGTGGCTCACGTCTGTAATCCCAGTGCTTTGGGAGCCCAAGGTGGAAGGATTGCTTGAAGGCCAGGAGATTGAGACCAGCCTGGGCAATGTAGTAAGACACTGTCTCAACGAAAAATTTAAAAAAACAATTAGCCAGATGTGGTGGCACGTACCTGTATTCCTAGCTACTTAGGAGGCTGAGGCAGGAAGATTGCTTCAGCCCAGGAGTTTGAGCCTGTATTAAGCTATGATTGTGCCACTGCTCTGCAGTCTGAGTGACAGAGTGAAACCCTGTCTCAAAAAAAAATTAAGTTAAAAAAAATAACATATGTGATGGTTAAATTTAGGTGTCAACTTCGCTGGACTAAGGAATACCTAAAGAACTGGTAAAGCATTATTTTTGAGTGTATCTGTGGGGTTGTTTCCAGGGGAGATTAGCATTTGAGTCAATGGACTGAGTAAGGAATATCCTCCCTTCAGTGTGGGTGGGCACCATACCATTGGCTGAGGGCCTGGTTAGAACAAAAAGAAGGAGGAAAAGATTTCTTCTCTGTCTTGGAGCTAGGTGACAGTCTTCTTATCCTGTCCTTGGACATCAGAACTTCAGCCTTTGGACTCCAGGAATTATCCCAGCACCTTCCTCCTTTCCCTGAGTTCTCAGGTCTTCAGTCTTAGACTGAGAGTTACACCATCAGTTTCCCTGGTTCTAATGCTTTAGGACTTGGACTGAATCATGCTACTGGTATCCTAGTTTTCAGATGGCCTGTCATGGGACTTCTCAACCTCTATAATTGCATGAGTCAATTCCCTTGTATTTCATGTGTGTGTGTGTGTGTGTGTGTGTGTGTGTGTGTGTGTGTATAATCTCCTATTCTGTCTCTCTGGAGAACCCTGACTAATACAGATTTCGGTACAAGGAGTGATTCTAGAGGAATTGAATTTTAAGGATAAGTTTCCTTAATTGGTTTTGGGTTTTCTGGAATTGGCTCTCTAACCTGCTTAGACCTAAAAATGCTAAGGATTCTACTTCTAATAGTAGAGAGTACTGATAGTCCATGGCCTGAACTGTTTATATAGAGATATGCAAAATATCTGCATTTGGTACCCCTAATTTACCACTTTATAGGAGGTAAGGAACTTGGTAGCTCTGTATGTGATACTTTTGAACATTTATAGAAAACTAAGGACTATAAAGGCATTGGTTGCTCCTAATGTCACTGGACAAAGTAATGAAAGAAAAGAATGAGTTCAGGCATTTGATTTCCAACTCTATCTCTGCATAAATAGCATAAGAGCTTCTAAGTGTCCCTGAGTCAGAATCTTTTCTCCTGTAGCCACAGGGCTGAAACTGCCAAAAATCAAGCACAAGCTCTTATCATGTGATTAATTGAATGACAATCAAAGTTGAACTCTCAGCCTTGTAAGGTGTCTACTGTTAAGTTGAGGACATTAGTTGGGAAAGAATGGGATTCTGTAGGTTGGGATGGGATGTGTGAGAAGACCCTGGTGGAGGCTGGGGACATTGAGCTCCTACATTCTGATGAATCTTATTTGACAGCAGAAAGGGCCTCCACCCTCCCTCCTGGGGCATCCCTACCCACTGTGGCCTTTCTGCCTCTATATGAGAGGATTAACTCTGAGAAAACCATAATGGCCTCCCCTGAGGCAGTTGCTAAGCAAGACAATGCTGATTCTCTTCACCCTCTTTGCTTCTAGACCTATATAACTAAACTCAAGTCCCAGCAGGCCCCCAAAGGTGAGGTACAAAGTGTGACCCATGAGAAGGTATGCTAAGTACCAAAAGAGCTACTTGGATTTTCTAATTTATACAAGCAGAAATTGGGGGAACATATATGTAAGGTTTTTCGGCGGTGACGAGAAGAAAAGACAGAGAGAGAGAGAGAGAGAGAGAGAGAGAGAGAGAGAGAGAGGGCGCCAAACCACGTGGCTTTATTATACACTTGTGAACAAGGTTCTGGGGCCCCAGAAGTCGCTGCCTTTTGAAGGGGCTGAGGCCTTTTATACCCTCTGGGTGGGGCTAGGGACTTTTGGTGGGAAGAGGTGAGGATTTTAGAAGGGGCTGGAGGTATTTGTGGAATCCAGGAGTCAAAACTTTCTTATCCGGGTGGACTTCTGGGCGTGGTTCCTCTCAGCTGGGCCTGGCAGTTTTGTCCTTGGAGGGTCTGGTCTCATGAGCCTTTTCTTTTTTGATCTAGGGAAGGGAGGGGGCCGCCACCAGCCTTACAATACATATGAATAGATATGTAGAATGTGGGATAATGATAGAAGGAAGGTAAAATTGGATCAGGCCACTTTTATTGATACTGGCCCGAGCAGAGATTCTGCACTTAATGTACAGTTTAGGGAGTTAGGAAAGGCACTAACAGTTTGTTTGATTTGTTGGCTGAAACGTGGATCAAAAAATGGCCTACTGTGAGTGAATTGGAGATGCCTGGTCTCCCCTGGGTTGGTGTGGAGGAAAGGATTCAAAAGCTTTGAGAGATTGGAATACTAGAGTGGATTTGTCACTTAAAAGCTATTCCCCACACTGGGAGGGTCCAGAACACATACCCTTCAGCAGTACTTTAAGAAACAGATTTGTGAGGGGAGCCCCAGCATCCTTGAAGAACTGGTAATTGTTCTTCTCTATAGGCCAGACCTTACACAGGGAACCACAGTCACTCAACTGAAAAACTTAAATGCAGTGGGAATAATTGCATCCTAGGGTGGCAGGGGCCAAGTGGAAGCACTCAGTGGACAAAGGCAAGGTGGGCATAGTTACTATAATAGACAGCAGAGGCAAAACAACAATCAGAATAGTCTGACTCATGTAGACCTATGGCAGTGACTAGTTAATCATCGTGTTCCTAGAATGAAATCGATAGGAAGTCTTCTAAATTCTTACTTAATAAACACAAAACTTTCAGGTCAAGTGACCAGAAGTCTAACTTGAATTATAAAAGCAGAGAATCATGGCCCTTGAATCAATTCTGAGATTTGAGCCAGTTTACAAGGCAGAAAAGTGATGGTCTTAATTCAATTTAATAAATACAGCTCAGTGCTAGTTACTCTGCAAAGATTCTAACAAAGAGTTAAAACTTTTATCTCAAGGAACATATAGGCTAGTGAGGGCAAAGAGAATAAGAAAATGCTTTGAATGAAAGTTAAAATAGCAGGAGAGGTTCAAACACTATGCTTTGAGTGCTGAAATGAGGAAAGGAGATATACTGTTAAGAGAATATAGAAAGCTGACTTTCATGGAATAAATTGCATTTGTAATGCATCTTGAAGAAGGGGTAGGTTTGGACATGTAGAAACTGGGAGGGGAGTTGCAGGAATAGATAACAATTGGAAAAGAGATATGGAGGTGAGAGATTATAGCCAT